CTTGACCTTTCCTGCCTATCTGCCTTTTCTTTTCTTTATGTTTCTTTTGCACCTTCTTCCCGTCCCCACCCCCACTCCCCTTGTTTTTAAGACATGCTTTATGTCATATATTTTATTCTTTCTTTTCAGCTTCGTGGTGGAGTGGTGCAAGCAATTAACAATTCCTTCGTATCCAAACAATTAATTTTAATTTTAATGTTCACTTAGTTTTACAGCCGGTATGAGTGACTAAAGCCGTATACGTCACACCTTATAGGTGTAGGTGTTTTATAATGCGGCGATAAAACCTGGTTTTCAACATGTGCTTTCACCAAGGCTATTCATATAACAGTCGTTCTCAATTACACGCGAGGAATCGTCGTCGCGACAAGTTAGGTTTTGGTTGACGTCAATCAAGGCGTTTCCATGACATCCCATAGACCGTCCAATAAAATTCTATTTAGGCTGCGTATACACGGTACCGGACGATTTATGAACCGGTCAAGAACTTGACCTTTACATACTGTTTAAACAGAACTTTCTCTTTAATTGAACATACGGAACCGTTTGAACCGATAGAACCCCTCAACAACTGACATACAACTACTTGACCGGTAACAGTGCGAATCGAAAAACCGTGGGCACCTAGAAATATTCTAGGAATATTCTACTCTTCTTTGGCCAATCAGAATTGACTTTCTAACCATAAGATAACGGAAAGATAACAATACGCTTCTGATTTGCTATTGAACATTCTTGACATATTTCTAGGTGCCCACGGTTTTTCGATTCGCACTTTAATAATTCGTCCGGTACCGTGTAATTTTAAACGTAGCCTTAGTCGCGATTGCAATTTGCACGATTTCTTGCGTTATTTCTCACTTACCGGCGTTTGCATTGCTACGCRGCCACTCCAGACAAAAATCGCGACGTGCACTTTGCAATAGACTGCAGTCAGTCAACCACGTTGACGTCATTTACACGCGTTTGGATCGGCCCCGATAGGCCCGGTKAGTGTGGCTCATAATACTTGTAAACAATCGACCGATGTTTTGGCGCCTTTTGAATCACACACGCGTGTAAATGGCGTCAACGTGGTTGACTGACTGCAGTCTATTGCAAAGTGCACGTGGCGATTTTTGTCTAGTGTGGCCGCGTAGCAATGAAACGCCGTTAAACACCAAAAACCCCAAGGTGAAAACACTGTTATAATAAATAGGGACAGAAAACTAGCCAAGACAACAAATGAAAACCAAGGAAAGCAAGAAAATGTTGGTTTTGTACAACACATCTAATATGAAACAATTCTTTTATTTCCGTGTACCATTTTTATTTACGAATGTAACTCCATTTGAACAACTAATCAAGGCTCTTTGCTGCATCAACTMAACCTATACACAGGTAGCCCAACTGTCATTTTTATTTCAAAAAAATCAATCCTCCTTTGCCACTTGTACCATAACGTCTGGCAAAACTGTAATCAGAAGATGTGTAGTACTGTGCGGATACYCCAACCGGGACTACATTGATAAACTAATATCATTAACCAATCATATTGCGACATTTAGTTCAATACCTTTAACCAGCCAATCAGATAGCGCATGGATATAATTTAGAAGTGCGTGACAACGTGATAATCTGATTGGCTAAAGGCACTGTTATCAGTTCTGTCTAGTGTATTGTTATCTGATTGGTCAGTTATTCAAGTGGTCCTGGTTAGTGTGTCCGCACAGTAATTACTTTTCAAACTTTTCAYCTGTTCTTTTAGAAAATTGAAAGGAGAATATAGAGTATCTTGCAAAGGTTTCGCCCTGTTGAAGTTCAAAACGTGATGGTTCCTTAATAGAATTTGTAAGATTTTTCAGCGGTTTGGAGTTTTGACTTTGGAGCAGCCCAAAGTATTTTCAACCTTTTTTAATTGTAATTTACAGTTTCTTCAAAAAAGCAGGTTCGATCGTCTTGCTTAGAATCAAATAATACCTTGTTTAGTAGGAATTTTTAACGTGTACTGAGCAAGGGCACTAGGACACCGAATGTGGTTGGATTTCTATAGGGTTTTTTTTCCTTTCGATTATTTGAATTAAATCAACGTTATACTTGTTTACTTATTTTGCGTCCGTGTTCCTTCGCTCGCTGTTGTAATGCAGACGTTTTCATTCCAAATGTCAAACGGTYTGAATAGCCTATGAGCGTTACTTCTTTAACGGCCGTTCCGTACTTGACTCTGTTTGTACTATACCAACAACAACGCGACCGCGTGATGCTCCTTACGTCAGTAACCATATTAACTCTGGACGGTTGAATATTACTTGTACTGAGATCCCCGAAAAAGAGAATGACATGAACAGTTATTAACACGTAATAATCAAGAAACCTAAGTTTCTAAAGCAAAGACAACAAGCTTAAACGAGAGCAGTCGTCGACTATTAGCAAACATTGAATGAGTTATTAATGCTAAATTTCTTTACTATAATAACAATTTTAAAGACTGTCAACGTTCACAGTCGGAAACTTTTTCCTGGGTAAATTGGTTTYGAGTTAATTATTTTGAAGGCCAAATATATTTGAGTTCAGTAAGGAGTCATTTCGTCAGTAGGAGATTGAAGGTGGAAGGGACAGGCTCGTTATCAGTTCAGCTCAAACCATGAACGGTTCGGACAACCTAACACAAAGCATTTTTACGTGCTTCAGTGTACCCGATTCACATCTTGTACGAACTGTAAAGATAATGGCCATCTTGTTAGTGGGTGGATTTGCTGTGTTTGGCAATATTTTGATCATCTTCCTCGCTGCCAGATTCACCGTGAAAAGGAACATCCATCATTTGATCATCAACATGGCCGTTTCAGATATTCTCGTTGCTATCATTTATTCGTATGACAACATTCGTTTTCWAMGTCTCCCAAACAACGTTTTTGCCAACACCATATGGASGGCGGCTTACSACTTCWTCKGTTCGGCTTCCATGTATGTGACTTTGACTAGTCTACTGATAATAAGTGTGGAACGGTTCAGATCAACCAAGGTAACTGTACACAGAGTTCKTCCATACACGATGAAAAAACGTCTGGCACTAGTCTCTTGTTCTTGSCTGCTTCCTATGGGACTTTCTGCCCACATTGCTTGGTATTACCAAATTGAACAGAAGAGCAAAACAGACTATATAACATTTTTGGTTTTGTWTTGTTTTGGCCAACTCTTTGTTCTCCTTATGATGTGTTTAGTTGTGATATTAAATATCATGACTTCATTCAGACTTTGCAAATCACGTCGAAACTTCCCGCAAGGCAATTTTACTGAAGAACAGAATAGAACTAGAGAAAAACGAACAGCTAAGGCAGTGAAAATGGTGTTGTGTTCGCTTYTACTTTACACCTGTTGTTATCTTCCAAGTTTTCTCTATTTCTTTGTTATAGCTTTCCTAGCCAAAGTGTTTTCAGTATTAGAGCCATATTCCGGGTGCACTATTGATAGGAACACGTTACACTTTATGCTTCCTTTTCTTTTTCTAGTCAACTCTTGCTTCAGTCCTTGTATTTATATTGTTTTCCTAACTGAATTCAGACAAGCAGCTAAAAGACTATTGCACTAGTAATAAATAGTAATGAATAGCACTGAACTTAGTAGTCTATTATGATGGAAAATAATTCTTGTACTATATATCATTCCCATGTGGAAACAATGTAAAGTAAAATAAACTATGTATCACTAATGATAAATAAAAAATAGTAATGAATAGCAAACTAAACTTAGTAGTCTATTATGATAGAAAATAACTTATTCTTGTACTATATATCATTCCCATAAATAAAAAAATACGAATTGTGAAATAAGCTCTTTATGATATTCTTTCATATCAATATCCATCAAATCATATGACATTTCTTACTCCTTCCTCGCTATTTTTGTTAAAAAGCCTCAGATTGCGCTAAACATGKCTCTAACTAAGAACAGGACACAAAAGGAAGACGGGTAGATGGAAAAACAATTCATTGAATTTTCCCAGAATCCTTCGAAACTTGAAAGCGAGCGATAGCCACATACAGTATCTTTWAATATTCCTTTTGCGATAGCATGTATAATATAACATGGACTTTCGATGTCGCCGCAACATTTGGCAATATTTTGATCATCTTCCTCGCCGCCACATTTACTGTGAAAAGGAACATCCATCGTTTGTTCATCAACATGGCCGCTTCAGATATTCTCGTTGCTGTTAGTAATTCGTATCACATTATTCGTTCTCTACTTGGTCTTCCATATCTCTGGGAACCTTGGGATAATGACGTTAAATATTTTAAATTTTGTTCCAAGCCGGCTTTAGGGTCTCTGACACATCAGGGAAAGAATAAAAAATATAAATTGATTTCCCAAAACTATTTGAAAAAAGTGCCATTCATTTTATTATTAACCACATATATTTACTGTATTAATACACTGCCACAAAAGCCGAGCTTGGGC